TGCAAGGTCAGCGGCGAGTAAGCGTGCAGTTGCTGACAGTAAACAAACGCAATATGGGATGCGATGAGGAAGAGTGCAGGAGAGAACGGAGCTGCAGAGGGAGGAACGTGCGCGGGCGGGGTGGGAATAACTGGCCACGAAGCGCACGTACACAGTCGCAGAGACAAACGAAGTGACGGGCGTAGACACAGACAGGCAGGCATGCATGCATGCATGCAGTCAGGCAGACCGACACACAGACACACAGACACACAGACACACACACACACACACACAGGCACACAGACACACACACACAAAAGCACACACAGAACACACACAAAAGCACACGCAGACATACAGACACACACAGACATACAGACACACACAGACATACAGACACACACACACACACACGGCGTTATGAGCTGTATCCGACCCATGGCAAGAGCTTGCAGTCGTTGCCGTACATGCGTCCGTTCTGGATGTCCTGGCGCGGCGCCGTTGCCAGCCAGACAGGCGTGGCGGCTCCCTCCTCCGGGCTCTTCTTGGTGCTGCTGCCCGTGTAGCTGGCCACCATATCCGTGTCGACAAGGCCGGGCGTGCAGCAAGTGACGAGCAGGTCCTTGTTGTCGCGTGCCCAGATGTGCGTGAGCGCGTTGACGGCGGCCTTGGAAAACCCGTACGCCTGCAGCCACCAGCCAGTGGGCGACGCACACGGCAGGGTCGTGGACGCCTTGGCGCTCTCATCCACGGCCTGTTTGTACTCCGCGCTAAACTCCTCCACGAGCGTGTCCAGCGTGTCTTCGGTCAAGTCGTCGGCAAGCAAGGTAGCCTGTCGGGTCTCGCTTGTCTTCTCCATGTTCATGGGACCCGCACCGGAGGAGACGTTCACCACCCGCGCGTCCTTGGCCAGCAAGGGCCGCATTGCATGGAACACGCGCTGCACGCCGCGCACGTTGACCGCCATGGTCGTGTCGCAGGTGGCAGCGGTTGGAGGGTGCTTGCTCCACGGCAGGTCCAGGGCCACGCCGGCGTTGTTGACGAGGACGTCCAGTGTGACGTCGTGCGCCTTGAAGTAGGCAGCCGCCGCGTCCACGGACGCCTGGTCTGTCACGTCCAGCTGCACGAGGTGCACGCGCTCACGGGCGCTCTCATCCACGCCACTGCTCTTCCATGTTGCCAGGGCCTCTGCTGCGCGCTCGGGGTTGCGTGCGCCCATCCACACCACGTTGTCTTTGGAGCGCTCCACCAATGCCTTGCAGATTGCCAGCCCAATCCCACGGTTCCCGCCAGTCACCAAGCTCACCGTCATCTCCTCTGTGCGTGTCTCTATGTGTCTCTGTGCGTATCTCTGAGCGTGTGTCTGAGCGTATCTCTGAGCGTGTCTCCGTGCGTGTCTCCGTCTGCGTGTGAACGTATGGTGCACCTTTCTTCTGTTGTTCTGTCGTCGTCGTTTGGGTTGTTGTGTCAGTGGAAGAAGTGAAGAACACAACAGCAAGCAAAACAGCTGCGAGCGCAATTAGGTGTGTTTGTAGAATTTCATGTATATTTTAAACCACTTTTCGTGCTCATCCAGCAACCAGCCACTTCCCACCACAACGAACCAAGCACAGCAGGCAGGCGTCCTTCGTCTTCCGCCCATCCAATTTGGTCCGCCACCACCAAGCCACACCACACCCGTACCGCTTTGTCACGCCGCGTACGCAACCAATACGGCGCACAAGCGAGCAACAAGCAAGCGAGTGGGCAAGCAAGGTTGTTTTATTTCTGTGACACACCAGGCCCAAAGCACGGCGCAACACCAGGGGAACAAAAGCAGCTCTCTGCGAACGAGCGAACGAGCGCGCAAATAGACAGACCGTTCTTGTTCATCAAGGCGCACACGCACCACACGCAACCAAGTGCACGAAGCACAAGTGCAGCAGCAACAACAAGGAAGCGAGCAATTGTTCAGGCTCGAACAAGTGTCGGCTTGTTCCCGAACACAACAGATTCGTCGCAAGCGCCACGGAGGCCGCCGTCCCACCCGCAACCATCCACCATTCTCAACCACACGTCGCCAGCCATGGACGCGAATCCAAGCACGGATGACGATGGGTTTTGGGATGAGGAGGCGATTGTGCATCAAACGGCCGACTACCTGCAGGCCATGATGCAGCACAACACCTACTTCCCACCAGAGACCAAGGAGGATCCGCGCCTGTTCCACAACTTTTACCTCACCCGGCCCGTGCCCATCTCCTTGCGGGACTACATCATTCGTATGTGGCGGCTGGCAAAAGTCGGCACGGAGGCCGTCCTCTGCATCCCTTCCTACATTCGCGCCCTCTACCAGGTTAGCTCGTGTGTGTGTGTGTGTGTGTGTGTGTGTGTGTGTGTGTGTGTGTGTGTGTGTGTGTGTGCGTGCGTTGATGTGGGTTGATGTGGGTTGATGTGTGCTGAGTGAGTGTCTGTGTGTATGCGTTGATGTGTTGTGGTAGACTTGTGTGCATCGCAAAGCTCTTTTTTTTTGCGTGCACTGTGGCGCACTACAGCCTCGTTCCATGTGTTCGCTGACAGCTTTGCGCTGCGTTGCTATCTTCACTGCGTGTGTGTGTGTTTGTGTTGACTTGTTCCGTGATCAGACACACAACATGGTCTTTTCCGATAAGTTGGCGCATCGCATCGTCGCCACCTGTCTGCTCATCGCCATGAAGATGTGCAATGATGTCCTCTACACAAACGTACGCGCCGTTTGTGTGTCTGTGTGTGTGTCTGTGTGTGTGTTTGTGTGTGTGTGTGTGTGTGTTTGTGTTTGTGTGTGTCTGTGTGTGCTTGTGTTGATGTGCCGCCTGTCTGCTTGTTGCGTGCCTCTCCTTTGCACATCTCGCCTCACTTCATGCCTTTGTTCGCGTGTGTGCGTGTTGTCCCTCAGCGCCGCTACTCCAAGATCGCAGGCCTCTCCGCGGGCACCATGCTCCTTCTCGAACTCGTGAGTCGCACAACACACACACACACACATGTACACATCCAACACGCTCATGTGCATTCAACACGCGCGCATGTACTCGTTCAACACACAGCTACAGCCTCACGATTGACACACACACATGCAAATGCACACATCTGCACGTGCGGTCCCATCACACGTGCACAGGAGATGCTGAAGCTGCTGGAGAAGAACGCGTGTTTGCCGCCAGCACAGCTCGTTTCCGACAGAAGACATGTGAGGTGTTCGTGTTGGTTGGTGGAGCGATTATGATGCGTTTGGCGGACACGCTGTTTCGCCACACATTCACACACACACACACACACACGCACACACACACACACACACACACACACACACACACACAACACACAACACACACACACACACACACACACACACACACACAACACACAACACGCCTGGCGTGTACAGCTGCAGCGGTTTGTAGCGGGGGAGGTGGCGGCGTGGGAGCAGCCGCCGGAGGTGGACCCATCGTCGTGGGTGCGGGTTGGTCGCGTGGAGCGGTTGGCACTCGAGGCAACGGAGGTGCTGAACAGGCTGTGCAGTGAAGACGAAGAGGAGGATGGTGGTGATGATGGTAGTGGTGTTGATGGTGGTGATGATGGTGAGTATGTTGATGGTGATGATGGTGGTGGTGGTGATGATGATGATCAGCAGAAGCAGAAGCTTGAGAAGGAAAGAGGGGTGAGTGGTGGTGACGGTAGCAATAACGTTGAGAGAGAGATGAATGGCGAGGGTGCAAGGAGCAGTGGTGGTGGTGGTGGTGGTGGTGGTGGTAGCGATGGTGATGATGTTCGTGGTGCTCACGCACCACAACATGACACAGACAGCGCCAACCAACAACACCAGCACCAACACCAACACCAATCAAATCATGACGCACAACATGCCTGAACCACGCACCCTTGTCCTCGCGTGTTGACGTGTTACAACCATCTTGTTGCCCTGTTGTATTTCCTCTCGATTAGCACGTTGTTACAATGTGCACCCTCCATTGTGGAGTACTTCACCTTTGCTTGTGTTATGACGCACATTTGCACTCTCACACGCACGCACGCACGTGTGTTCTGCTGTCAATCAACCCCCTCTGCCCGCTTCCTTGCTTTTCTTGTGCATACCCCCTTGTCCCCTCTTCCAGCTGTTCGATCGAAGCATTGGTTACGGGTGTACTGTTGATCAAACATCACGTAAACGCAGCCAGGCACATGCGCACACACTTAACCGAGTGCACAAGTGCCCACAACACTTTGCATCACATCGCACACGCATGCATCAACATCGACTGAACAAATCAACACACACGCTTTCGATAAGCTGTGGCGCGTTGTTCTCCTGCCACAACGTGATCCATCCATCCGTCCATCCAATCAAACTACTTTGCTTGTTGCTCGCACAAGACTTGGCTGGTTGTCCTTACTTGTCATTGGGGGCTGCTCACATGCCTTGCTGGGCCATGGTCGCCGCGTGTGCTTGTGCCTCCTGGAACCTCTGACCAATACGCTGTGATGCAACGAAGAACTTGCCCACGCAGTTCTCCACACACGATTTCTACAGACGGGCACACACGAGTGCAAAAGAATGAGTGTGTTGCGAGGTGAATGTGTGTGCGTGTGTGTGCGTGTGTGTGCGTGTGTGTGCGTGCGTGCGTGCGTGTGCGTGTGTCGGGTGCGTGCGTGTGCGTGCGTGTGTGTGTGCGCGCTTTTGATAAGGATGAAAAAGAGAGAAAAAAAAGGAGAAGGTAAGAAGTGGACCAGCACAAAAAAGAAGTGGTGGTGGTGTCTTGAAGCGTTCCAAGAGGACATGGCACGGGGAATCAAGCGCAGGCCTCTAGGATAATTGCTCCAAATTGATCTCACAAGAAAGCGAACCATCCGCAGTCACTCGATTAACGACGGGAATGGATTAGTACTTGTTTCAGACGGAAGAAAACAAAACAAGGACGAGAGGGGAAAGGGGTGGGAAGAGAACAAACAGCACAAGTGACAGAGAGCGAAGGAAGCAAAAAGGACGAGAGAAAGGGAGGGGGAGAGAATCGAACCAAGAAGGAAAACCAAGCGCCAAGCGCCTTCGCTGTCAAGGGTGAACCATAATGTGCTTGAGGCATTGAAATCGCATGGAACGCACACACACACACACATGAGCATGGTAGAAACACACACCTGCTGGCCCGTCAGTTTTCTGGACGTGAATTCGTTGCAGCAGGCGTTGAAGCACTGCTCTGTCAGCCGGTTGTACAAGGAGATAAAGTCGGAAACCTGCGACCATTCCAACGATCACGTGCGAGCACAATCACACGGTCGCGTCAATCAAACATAGCATGTTTGTGTGTGTGTGTGTCTCGACAACACTTTCCAAGCCAGAAGCGGAGTATGTGCACCTACCCCCCCCCCCAAACACACACACACGCTTTCTCCCCCTTTTGTCGCAGGCTGACCTGTCGTCGCTGCAGCTGGGCCTCAATCTGGGCACGCTGCTCCGGGGGAAGTTGGTTCAGGTCCATGATGGTATGTGATGGGTGCTGGGGTGGTGCGCTCTGTGATAGGTGAAAATGCTTCCCCCTGCCTGTTGCCTGTTGCACGCGGTTGCGGAAAATTTACTATGTAACTCACAATTTTCAGCAACCCAAAGCAAGCAAGAAAGGCACAGAAAGGATGAAGAAGACATCATGCAAAGCAGGTGTCGAACACACACACACACACACACACACACACACACACACACACACACACACACACAGACGTACGAACAAACACACACACAGACGTACACACACACACACACACAACATACACTTGCTTTATGAACAACGACGTAACACGCAAGCAAGGAGAAGGAGGACGAGGACGAGGACGAGGAAGGGGAGCGCCAACCCCCCCCCCCCGGCTGCTCACACGGCGTTAGTGCGGTGCAGGAGGGAAGACGTGACACCAACAACGGCACCAGCCACAAGCGCGGCGGTGACAACAACGGTGAACAGCGACGGCTGCTCCTTGCCGTTGCCACCGCCATTGCCGGTGCCTTGCCGCCCTTGGTTTTGCTGCGCCTGCTGCGCCTGCTGGCGTGCGGGGAATGATGGGATGCTTTGCGAGGAGCGCCTGAGGTCCTGCTTGAGCGAATCAACAGCAGCCAGCACGCGGTGGGCAACGCGCTCAGAGTATTCTTCCATCTGGTGATACACATGCTGCAAGGAACATGCGCGCGCGCGCGTGTGTGTGTGTGCGTGCGTGCGTGCGTGCGTGCGTGTGTGTGTGTGAGGGAAGGAAGAATGTGTACGAGCAGAGAACGTACAATGCGTGATCATGCATCTGCATAATCAGTGCATGGAGGGCAGTGGACAGACCAGCGTCCAGCGCAAGAAACGTCACCACCACTGCCGCAGATGCAAGACACTAACACAGCTGCACCACCATTCAGTGCGGCAGACGCACGACATTGCATCTCGCGCGCATACCTGGGCCTCGTGGGTGATGGGTCGGACAATGCGATCAATGTGCGACGCATGCGGGTGCAGGTCCTCGTGCGCGGCGCTGAGCTCATCTGTCACGTGCGACAGCTGGCTGCCGGCCTACGGTAGTGGCAGCAGCACAGGGAGAGCGTGAGCGCACACTGGCTACTTGGCAGTGGAAACCCTGCGCAGACAGCATTGTGTGCAAGAACAAGAAGCAATAGAAGGGGAAGGAAGGAAGGAAGGAAGGAAGGAAGGAAGGAAGGAAGAACAGTGACGAAACAACAACAACTTAAACAACTCAAACAACAACAACTTCAACAAAGCCAAAACTACTTTACCTGACGCAACAGGAACGCTGTCGTCGCCTTTGTCATCTTGTCATCACCTTCGCTCACCTAGCGTGCATGCATGCAAACAGAATGCAAGATCGCAGTTTTGGAGGTGCATGAGGTTGTGCTGAAGTGCATGTCCCATAGATAGGCACCAGCACACAACCACAAATAACATCAAGCGACAGTTCTGCGGGGACACACACACACATATGCACGCACTTGGTGGGCATATTCGAGGGAATGGCGAAGGTTGAGCGTGAGCTGCTCCAGGTGATCGAAAAGCGTGCGCGTCCCGCCAAGGTTTGCAGTAAACCACTCTGACGTGTTGAAAAGAGGAAGGGGCAGGGAGATAGAAGAAATGCAGAACATGGTTATCAAGCAGCAACGCGGGCAAGTGATGTGTACGCGTGAAAAAGCAAACATCAGCAGTGAACAACATCAACAACTCACAACTCAACCATCAACTCAACCATCAAATCAACCACCAACTCAAACACCAACCACAACTCAACCATCAACTCAAACAACACCAACTGAACGCACGGGCGAGCTCGGTCGTGTCGATGTAGCCGTTGCCGTCCGTGTCAATGCGTCCAAAGAGCTCCTTCATCTCCTCTTCTCCCAGGCTCTCATCATCGAAGAAAGCCACAAACTCGTCGTACGACAAGCGGCCATCATCTGCGTGCACCACGTTCGACAAACAGACAACCAACACACACGCCAATGACACGTCAAGATGAGAAACTCAATCCCACCTCCACCACAACACACGTGCGATCAAGCACACGTATTCAAGCAACACCGCTTCACCAACACAGCACACAACGTGCAAGGGCCATCGCACCGTTTTTGTCTGCCCTTCTGAACATGTCCTCCAGCAGAGCATGAGGCCCATCGTGTGCTGCTTGCTCGGCCATGGTTGTTGTTTGTTGTCGCTTGCTTGGTTGCTTGCTGCTGCTTGTTGTTGTCGTCAGTGTTGCTTTTGTTTGTGGTCGTTGTGGATAAATGGTACAAGATTTCAATCAATTTTCATGCGAAGGTTTGCGCGCTGGCGCCGCTGGTTTGAGTTGTTGTTGTGTGTGAACGAGCGAGTGTCAAACAACCACCGCAGACTCAGCCGCACCGCCAGCCACCACCAGCCACCACCAGCCACAACCTCCCTGTTCCTGCTTCCATCCCCCCAACACCCTGCCTCACTCCCTCCGCCCACGCCACACCCAAACACACCCTCCCTCACACCGTGTTGGCTTGTCGACATCAGACATGGCAGAGTCGACGAGGATGAATGAGGAAGGGCTGTTTGTGCTGGAGGTGGTGTGTGCGGATGTGAAGGTGGACGTGAGTGCACTGCAGGCCCCGTTGCGCGCCCCGCGGTTGTCGGTGCAGCTGCTCGACTATCCGCCTCTGATCCTCCCAGCACAGCGACGTGCACCAGCCACAAGCACAAGCAACACCGACGCCAACACCGACACCGGCCGCGGTGGCAGTGGTGGCAACAATGCTGCTGTAGATGCTGCTGGGGCGACGGAGCGCCTCGTGTTCGCAGAGGGCGCATCGGCCCTGTTCAAGGAGCAGCCTGCCAGGTTCACAAAGGCGCTGCAAGGCGCTCCCCTCTATATCATGCTCTTGGACATCCCACAGGCACCCTCCACAGGCAGTGGACTGGTGCATGTCGCTGGCGTTGCGCTCGACTTGAGGGGATGGAAGAACGACACGCAACGCCTGCATGGCTTCGTGCCCGTGGTCATGCACGACGTCTTTGGAACACAGGTGGCCACAACAACCCTCAAGCTGTCCATCAGCGCGCTTGGCCCAGAAATCCTGCGGCACATGGACCCAAGCAGCCTGCGCCTGCAGTCGGCCGACCGGAGGCAGGACGACCTAGTTCGCATGCACCGCGACAGAGTCTTCCACTCGGCACCCACCACAAACGTGCACCTCCAGGCCGATAACAACGTGAAGAACACCAATGCCACACATGACACACCCGGGCACAGCGGGATTGGTGGCATGAGCGGCGTTGACGAAGAAGCAGATACGATGGCGGCATCAGGGCATGAGCCACAACTCGTCGTGTATCGTGGCGCGTCCACGGGCGCTGGTCAGCGCCTCACTCGCGTCGGCTACGTCACGTCTGCACTGTCGGCGCGCAGACACCGCGGGCCAAAGGCAAACAAGAGCTACCCACCCCCGCTCCGCTTTGAACACCAGCCGCAACCACAGTTTCCGCCACACGAGACAGAGGCCAAAGACCAGACAGAGCACAAGCAACAACAACAACAACAACAACAACAACAACAACAACAACAACAACAACAACAACAACAACAACAACAACAACAACAAGAGGAGCTGCGTGTGCACGAGTCCCTGATGAGCCTGCCCGATTTCGACGGGAGCGGGTCGCTCATATCGCCGCTGATCACAACAGCGGACATGGCGGCCGACCCTGCGTTTGGGGGCATGGCAGCGCTGCAGGAAGAGGATGAAGATGAGGACGAAGAAGACGAAGACGAGGAACAGGAGAAACAGGGCAGCGGTGGCACTCGTGCTGACAACACCCATGGAGGTGACGCATACACTGGCACTGATGAGAGCGAGAGCGAGGGGTACGGCGATGAACAAGAGACAGGCGCCAAGTCAGTGGCGGTGGAGGAAGGAGCAGAGGATTATGAAGAGAGCTTTGAGTCTGCCAGCCAATCACCAGTGTCGGAGGGAGGTGAGACGACGAGCGGAAGTGCTGGTAATAATAGCAGTGGCGAGAGAAGCGTGTTTGCAACTGGTGAAGAGAGCGAACACATGCAGGATCGGCACCAGCAGCGGCGGCGGCGGCGACACACGCGCGAATCACAGCAGCACGGCGCTGATCACAGCAGTGGAAGCAGCGGGGGCAGTGGTGCCGACAGCGATGCGGAGAACGTGCGTGAAGGCGATCGGCCGTACACACACGCGCGGCGCGAGTCATCACGCTCAAGCACGCGCACGCGAGATGAGGAAGCAAGACGCGTGCTCAGCTCTCGGGAGAGCGCTGGGCCAGAAGGAGAGGTGGTTGGAGGCATGCATCGTGTGGTCAGCGCAACAACGCCAGCAGACCTCTCAGAGACACTTGGCGACAGTTTCCGCGACAGGTGCGTCGGACATATGTGTGTGTGCGTGTGTGTGTGCGCGCGCGTTTGTGTACATGTGTGTGTGTGTGTGTGTGTGCCACAGTGCAGTTGCGCCTCGAAGGTTGTTGCGAATCTCATGCTGAAACACACACGCACATACATGCACACATACACGCGCCAACCACTAGGCCGACATCAGCGACGAATGCAGCCGACTTTGATCGGGCAGCGATGTGGGAGCACATGTTGACGCAGCAGAACGAGCAAGAGGAACAAGAAGAGGAGGGGCAGGGTGCTTCAGACACCTATGATGATCATGATGATGATGATGATGATGATGATGATGATGATGATGAGGAGGAGGAGAAGGACGAAGAGGAAGAAGTCTCTGCCGTGTCTGCAGCTCCAAGGTACGCACGTGTATGAATAACACTGGCAACGAAGTGGCACATACTTGTGCTGTATTGTGCGAACACTGGGCTCACCTGCACCTGCTGCTGTGTGTGCTTGCTCGTTCGTTCACAGGCCGACACAGTCGCGGCCGCAATACGATGATGAGCAGCCCTGGGGTGAATCCATCGTCGCTGACAGGTGTGCACACGCGAAGAGGTCCTGGCATGAGATGCGCTCACTGGTCATTGGCTTTGCACCATCTCACTTGCACGCTGACACACAGAAACACGCTCACCCTCATACACACACACACACACAAAACACACACACACACACCCTCTATCACACACACACACACACACACACACACACACACACACACACACACAAAACAAACACACCCTCACACACACCACGCAACACGACACACGACACACAACACAACACAACATGCAGTCTGGAAGTGACAGCAAGAGCAGCGCCCGCGTCTCCACCGCCAGCGGCGACAACAGCGGCGTCGACATCGACTAAACTGAGCATTCTCGAACGCATTCGGCTCGCGCGCCAGAGCTTAAACGTCAGCAAGGACTGAAGCGTGCGGGAGTGCTGTGACTGTGAGCTTCTTGTTGTATATGCGTACGACCATGGCTGCGTATTCACGCTTGTGTGTTGAAAGTGTGGAAGTGTGCACCATGTTATCCCTCTGCTTCGCCGGCCCACATGCGCTTCCTCATCCTGAGATGGAAAGCATGAACACTGTATTCACTGCTACATGAGCGCCAACGCCGCACACGCGTGAAATCGACCAGAGAAGCAACTGCACGCACCACTCATCATTCATCATGGCCACAGCAGGAGTGAAGAGTACATTGGTAGAGCATCAACATTCAACATCCAACCACACCACACAAAACCTCAATTGCATCAAACATCAGCAGAAGCGAAATCATCACCACATCCCTGTTGAACATTGTCATCATGCTGAAGACATGGGTCGCATCACAGCTTGCTCTGTCCGCCAAAGATGCGACGCGTTGTCTGCATGAGCGGGAGCAGGTGCTGCTCAACAGCGGGCGACACCTGCGATGGATGGAAGCGAGGGTGGAGAGGAGGGAGAAACGAACGGGTGAGGGGCGCGTAGCGTGTGCTGGCATGTGCAGGTTGAGACAACGATGAACGAATGATACACAGTGATGATTCACAACGAGCCTCAAGGCCACAACAACTGATGTACACAAGCACAAAGCACACACACATGCATACACAAAGCACGTACACATACACACAAAAGACACACAGGCACACACACATACACAAGACACACGCGCACACACATACACAAGACACACGCACACACACACACATGCGCGCGCACACACACACAAAAGACAGACGCGCACGCGCACACACACACACAAGACACACACGCAACACCACCTCGTGCTGGTTCATGGGCTCCTTCTGCGCGTATTCATAGAGCGCCTCGTACACGCGCCCGTCAGCGCGACCGAGGGCGGAGTTGAGGAAAAAGTCCGAGAGATCAAACGCATCGACAAGAGCAACGGCGTTGCGTCGGATCACAGTCCGCTCATCCTCGGCCTGCACCGCAGACGGAGTGGGTGGCGCATGTGTTGGTGGCACGTGAATGATGTGAAGATGATGATCTGCAGATGATTATTGCAGCAGCAGCGATGTGAAAGCAACTCGAACGCACACGCCACATACACTTAACGCGCGCACACACAAACATCACACACACACACACATCACGCATCAAACACTCACACACATACACATACACATACACATACACATACACATACACATACACATACACACACACGACCGCGCACCGCTTGCTTCATGTTGGCGATGGCTTGGCGCGTGAGCACATCTGTCTCGACGACGTCGTAGGAAGCGAGACGAAGGCCGTAGAACCGGGTCAGCGACACCAGCACACCTGACGATGACAATTGCCAGGCGCGATGGTGGTGGTAAATGGTGGGTGGGGCGCTGAAAAAGAATGAAGACCAGTTGGAGGCGGGAAGAGAATGAAGAAGCGCTTGAGGTGGGAACAAAAGGAAACAGCACGAGACATGCGTGCATGGACTGACCGTGTGTCTTGTCATCGAGGTGAGCAGCACGAACGCCTTCCAGCAGATAGTTGAACACCATGATCTGATACATGACATTGGGTACGAGCAATGAAATGAAGTGGCGGTGGTGACGAAAGCATTACATGTGCGCTCAATTCTCGAACAACAAGCAACGCCCCGCACATCAAGAGTCGTCACAAATGAACGTAAACGCAGACATGCACACACACATGCACAGAAAGGTTCGGAATTTCAGCAACACCGCTGCCGCCCAAAGACTCACCCTGCAGTGTGCCTGTGCAGCCTTCATGAGGACGGGAGCACACGCGTTCCAGGCGCGCCCGCTCGTAGCGTACCGCTGCTGCGCAGAGATGAGCGCCCCGTGCGCCTCCATGATGCGGCTGATTCGCGGTGCCGATGGTGGTGATTTGGCAGTTTGAGGAATGGAAGCATGAGGGCGTGTGAGACACAGTGTGTGTGTGTGTGTGTGTGACACAGTGTGTGTGTGTGTGTGTGTGTGTGTGTGTGTGTGTGTGTGTGTGTGTGTGTGTGTGTGTGGTGTTCGTTCACAGTGCGCAAGACACTCACACGACGGCGATTGCGCGAAGAATGAGGAGAAGATTGTCCAGATTCTTGACACCCTGTCAATGGCAACGGCAACGCAGCCATGTGATGTGATGTGAACATACAATGACATGATGCAGTCACGCATGTGCGATTGCATGCGTGTATCTTGGCGCACATGCCCACACGCAAACGTTTCAAGACAACCACATGTAATATGAACCCAAAGTTGCGTACGTGTGTTGACGTGAGCTTGCGGGCTGCCGCTGCCAGTGAGCGATCACCAAGATAGGCCAGATCAGAGGGCACGGGATCCTTTGCGGTGGAGAGTTGGTTGGTGGCAAGGAATGTGTGTGTGTGTGTGTGTGTTGTGTGGGGTGTAAGTGAATGAGTTGTGCGTGCGTGAGAGTTACGTGTGTGAGTTGTGCGGGGGTGTGAGAGTTACGTGTGTGTGTTTTGCGTGTGTGAGAGTTACGTGTGTGTGTGTGTTGAGTGCTTTGTGGGTGGGTTGATGTATCAAGGTTCATGGTACTACGTGGTGGTTTCCAAAGCTGAGGCCATAAGTTGCACAGCTCTGATGCAGGTAAAACATGAATGGAGGCACGCCCGACACGACGGAAGCGGCCTCACCTTCTGCTCGATGGCGGCGACCATCTTCAGGAGATAGCGCGCACACTGCAGATACATGACGACATTCTCGCCCTGTTGCAAGGCAGCGAGAGGGAAGAGCAAGTCGAGGAGAGCGGAAAACGATAAGGGATGTCACAGCAGCGACAGTGTCAGCAGCGAGTTGGTTGAGCGAGCAAAGACAAGCGCTCGCGCACACACACACACACACATACACACACACACACGCACACACACACACACGCACACACACGCACACCTCGTATGTGCATGCAGGGACGTAATCTGTGTAGAGATCGGGAAGGCCACTGAACTTGCTGTAGCCGTGGCCGCCACAGCACCGCCTGCACGCCTGCACACGACAATGACAACAGCATGGCGGTGGCGAGGCGATGATGGAGGTGGTGGTGATGGGATAGAACCCCGCATGTTCACACACACATGCAAACACACACACAGAGACACGCACACACACGCACGCACGCACCCTCGCACACACATACTCACTCACTCACACACACCTCGATGCCCTCAGAGGTGATGGTTGAGCAGTAGGCCTTGAGACCGGAGGTGGTGCCGTGGGTGTAGCTCAGCAGACTCAAATCGTTGGACGAGAGGGACGCCTACGGTGCGTGATGTGGCCGAAGCAGTGAGCAGCACGCTGGCTGTTGTGCTGTATGTATGTGTGTGTGTGCAGAGGAACCTGGCCAGCTAGGAAACCAAGCAAAGGAACAGAAGAGCAAGGAACAAGCAAACAAGCAAGCAAGCAAAGCGATCAAACGCACAATCAAACGAACGAGCGGATCACAGCAGCAGCAGCGACCTGAAGACGGTGGTAGAGGTCTGAGAGGATGCGTCCTGCAAAGTGGAATGCAAACGCCGCACCAAGCAGCTCAAACAGTGTCTCCTGCTGCACGGTGTAGTCGAGGATCTTGGACTCGGTCGTGTCCGTCTCGTCCATCAGCGACTGGCGGCGGACGGCGCCGTAGCGCACAGCAATCTGTTGAGGCAACGGCAGTGGTGATGGCAGTGGGAAGGTGAAGGTGGCGGTCGTCGTCATTGTTGTGAGACAGAAAAGTGATCGAGAACAAGGAAGCGGAGAGGCTGCAAAATGACAGTGGAAGAACACACACAAACACACACATACACATATACACATACACATGCACATGCACACGCATACACATACACTACACACACACATACATATACACATACACAATCTCACCGTTGTTGCTGCCTTGAGGTGGAGGGCTGCGTCCATGATCATGTGACTTCGCACAAAGATCATCGTCCCATAGCTGCAGTGTCAGCGCGGAGACGTTGAGTGCGCACATGCGTAAGCGAATGAGTGGGTGAGCGTGAGTGAGAGAGTGTGAGAGAGTGTAGTGTGAGTGAGTGTGTGTGTGTGTGTGTGCTGTCGGTGTGTGAATACTTCTCTCTCTCGCTCCCCCTCCGTATCGTGGCTGTACATTCACTCGTGCCCAACCTGAGTTTGGTGTTGAGGGGCTTGGAGTAAGAGCCATCCACAGCAACCTGCAGGCCATCACGATTAAGACTGGATGAGCATCATATTGGTGATGCAATATGTCGCACGCACACACACACACACACACGCACAGATACATGTGCACAGATACATGTGCACACACACACATACATCACGACGAAAGCACACGCACGCATGACGCTTGCCTTTGCATAGCGGGAGAGGAGGTGTGCACGAGGGATGGCCACGGAATCGAAGCGGAGGAAGCCATTGTCCATGCTGTCGTAGCCAAACTTTGGTCCAATATCACCCACGGTGATGCCCTTGAGTGGGCGGTGCGTGTCCAGATCGCGAATCTGCACAATGAACGCGTGTGTGCCGTAGTCCCTGCCTTTGGTAATGAGTCGCGCCATCACCACGCAGTGCGTCGCTGTCTTGCCGAGTGACCCCGGCCACCACTTGGTCGACGTCAGCGTCGGGCTGTTGAGGATGAACGATTCGGTAGCCGGGTCGTACGTTGCCGTTGTCTCCAGCCCGCGCAGGAACGTGCCGTGCCCAAGCTCCGTCTGGCATTGTTGGTGGTGGCGGTGTGATGTGGTGTGCATTGCATGTAAGAAAGCGCGCGTGCGCGCGCGCGCGCGCGCGTGTGTGTGTGTGTGTGTGTGTGTGTGTGTGTGTGTGTGTGTGTGTGTGTGTGTGTGTGCGTTGCGTGTACGCAAGTGAAAGAGAGCGTGTGTGTGTGTGTGTGTGCGTGTGTGCGTGTGTGTGTTGTGTATGTGTGTGTGTGTGTGTGTGTCGACTTGCACTGCGTTGTGTTTGTACCATTGTGCCACAAATGACCCACGCCAATGTGAACAGAGCTCTGTAACAGTTGTGACAAGTAGAATCAAGTCACCCCTAATCACCTGAGCATATGTGCCGACAATCTGCATGGTTTCTGCGAGCGGAAGCCACTTGGCCTGCTGCTCCTTTGTCCCTTGCCCTTTGATGCAAGGAATGAACATGGCCTGCCAGCAGATTTGTGATTACACCACAGAGCACGCGCGGCAGAATGAGAGACCCACGCTTGTGTGTGGGCAAGAAAACAATAAAGTCGAGTGGGAAGAAACCACCTTCTCACTTGGGCAAGAAGGCGCGTGGCATTGTGGGTCTCCCAGTATCAAACCGCACGGGAAGCATGCGCACATTACCCAGTGGAGCCCGACAGGCAGCTGTTCCCGGATACAGCGGCGAGCATAGATGGCGTCCTGGTCCTTCCACCCGTGCATGCGCACCAGCTGTACGAACCGCACGGTCTTTTCAAGCGCCCGCTCATACCTAAGGCGCCACCACGCAATGTAGGAAAGGAGAGGGTGATGTTGCGTGTGTGAGTACGTGTGTGAGTTGCAGGGGCCACAAAGATTGCACGCAGCGATGGAGAACGCACGCAGCGATGGAGAACGCACGCAGCGATGGAGAATGCACACAGCGGCAGTGAGAGCAGTTTACAGCGGTGGGTAGTCCACACAGTGATGAGGAGTGCAAAACAATGATGGGGAGTGCAAAACAGTGATGGGGAGTGCAAAACAGGAATGACGGGAACTGTTACGTGGTGGATAATTCATGTACACTGCCTTCACGATGCCACAGAGCAAGCGCTGTCACTGACCTGCGAGTGCGATCACAGAAGTAGTAGTCGTCCACGCTCATGACTTCGTCTGCTTCGATGACCCGGCGAATCTGCCTGCGCTTCTCCACAACCTCTGGCGATCCAGCGAGGAGAGCCATCACAGCATCCACATCCATCTCTGCCCCTTTCCTTTCCTCATCCAGTGGGCCCCTTCCGCCCACACCAACACTGCCATCCATCGTCGCTTGCTTTGCTTCTCGCTTCTTGCCTCGTTTGTGCTCTCCTCCACACACGCAACAACAGTGGTCCTGTGTGCGGAAAATTACAGAAAGATGTGCCCATTCTTCACGATCGATGACGAAGCAGCCAAACAAGCGAGGAAGAAGAAGGAAGACGATCAACACAGAAGAATGGACGTGGTGAAGGCAGTGCGGCACTACATCACCAAGATGGTGTCGGAGCATGAGGGCATGAAGGTGCTGTTGCTGGACAAGAACACGGTGCGTAGGAACTGGCGCTCAGTGCTGCGTATGTGTGCTTTTGTTTGAAGTATTGTGTCGTTGAATGGGGGTGTGCCGTGCTGTCAGCGCATCATATCGGCGCGTCACACGAACAGAGCGTATCCTTTTGTAAACAAACGACCATGTTTTTCCAATGGAGCCATGCTGTTGTGCTGCTCGTGCTCACGATTGCGGTGATGCGATGGCCTTCTCCTTATGGCGTGATGCGATGGCTCTTTGCTCTCCTTCTCATGGTGTGGTTCCTTTGCGCGGGTAGACCACCATTGTGAGCATGGTGTTTTCCCAGTCCGAGGTGCTGCAGAAGGAAGTGTACCTGATTGAGCGCGTGGATGTTGCCCAGCGTGAGCCCATGAACCACATGAAATGTGTTGCGTTCCTGAGACCAACGCAGGTACGATGAACATGTATACATGAGTGAGTGTGTGTGTGTGTTTGTCTGTCGGTGTGTGTATTTGTGTTTGTCTGGGTTTGCCACTGTGTTTGTGTACTTACTAGGGTACGTTGGTAGATTCTATCCACTGGCACGTTTCGTGCATTCTCTCCAATACCCACGCCTGCTCTCCTCCCCCCTCCTCTTTCCTAGGAGAGCATCGAGGCGCTGATTGCAGAGCTCAAGGAACCCAAGTATGCACAGTACGACCTTTGTAAGTGGACACTGGGCTGCCACATCCATGAACACACCATTGCCCACACCCTTCACATGAACAATCACAACGCACCTCACAAGCTTGACTGCACTGCTCCGCCTGACTTTTGCACTTGCACAGACTTTTCCAACACGCTGACATCGTCGCAGCTGGAGCAGCTGGCGCACGCCGACGAGCACGAGGTGGTGCGGCAGGTGCAGGAGGTGTACGCGGACTACCTCGCCGTCGACCACAACCTGGTCACCCTCAACATCGTCGGCTGCCTCGCCCCTGGCCGCGACTCGTGGCGCAAGCCCTGTCTTGACAGAACAACAGAGGTACGTCTGTTCGTGCGCGTGTGCGTGTGCGTTTTGCATGCGTGTGTGTTGTGCGTGTCTGTGAGTCTGTGTGTGCGTGTGTCTGTGTCTGTGTCTCTGTTTGTGCCCGTTTGTGTGTGTGTGTGTGTCTGTGTCTGTGTCTGTGTCTGTGTCTGTGTCTGTGTCTGTGCATCACCATCAACACCATCACTCTGACATTTTGAACTGTGTGTATGATTTGCATCACTGGCACAGGGCGTGGTGTCCATGCTACTCTCTCTGAAGAAGACACCAACCATCCGGTGCGTGACACTTCTGTGAAACACACGCATGCACACACGCACACGCACATACGTACACGTACACACATGTGGTACGAAAGGACAGAGGCAGGGGTGACAAATGACAGTTTTTCTGTGTGCATGAACCTGGTTGCTGTGCTTGTTTTGCAAGGATCCCACTCTCTAACGTGTGTGTGTGTGTGTGTGTGTGTGTGTGTGTGTGTGTGTGTGTGTGTGTGTGTGTGTGTGTGTGTGTGTGTGGATGAGTACAGGTTTGCTGGCAAGAGCGACGTGTGCAAGCGGCTAGCGGCGGATGTCGCCTACATCATTGAGCGCGAGGCCGAGCTCTTTTCCTTCCGCCAGACGCACGACACCCCACCCCTCCTCCTCGTACGGCACAACTGTGTCCGCCTGTTTGGCTGTCTGTGTACTTGTGTGTGCTTGTGTATGTGTATATGTGTGTACTTGTGTATGTGTATATGTGTGTATTTTTGTGCGCGCGGTGTGTATGTGTGTATTGTACTTTTAATGGTTGTGTGCCAGTGTTGCCTTTGTTGCACAACAACAGTTACTTGCTCTCTGACCCACACCCTGTCCGACTGCGGGCTTGTACATGTGTGTGTGTGTGTGTGCTCTCAGCTGCTTGACCGGCGCGATGATCCCGTGACGCCACTTCTCAACCAGGTTTGCACATGCACACACATATACGCACAAGCACACAGATACACATGCACGCACATGCACGCACATGCACGCACACGCTGTGACCCCTTCTTGCCCACTTCCACGAAGGTCCCTCACGCTCACCTTCAAGTATCCCCCTCTTCCACAACGTTCATTACCGCAGTGGACGTACCAGGCGATGGTGCACGAGGTGCTTGGCATCCACAACAACCGCGTCGACCTGAGCGGGGTCCCGGGCGCCAGTCGCGACACGAAGGAGGTCGTCATATCCGTTGATGCCGACGATTTTTACAAGAAGAACATCTACCTCAACTTTGGCGAGGTGACACCGCGTCGTGTTGTGATGTGGAGGAGGAAGCGGTGGAGGGGGTGCTGGTGATGGGAGTGGAGATGGGATCACTATTGTCGTGCCGGATTTGTTGCTGTGTTGCTGTGCTGTTGATCTTGCACGCGGCGAGCGTGATGCTCACCACATTCCAAACACACACACACACGCACGCACACACGCACATAGATTGGCGAAAACATCCGCACGCTGGTGGCTGAGTTTCAGGAGCGCACGAAGAGCCACGAAAACATTGAATCGATTGCGGATATGAAGGCGTTTGTGGAGAGCTATCCGCAGTTCCGCCAGATGTCGGGCACCGTCTCCAAGGTAAACACCATCAGCGACGATAGACTGTGTGTATGTGTGTGGCTGTGTGTGGCTGTGTGTGTGTGTGTGTGTGTGTGTGTGTGGCTGTGTGTGTGTATGTGTGCGTGGCTGTGTGTGCGTGGCTGTGTGTGTGTGTTTGCTTTGCTCCATATCCTCACCTGACATAACTGCCATCCTCCCTCACCAATCCCCTCCTCCACCCAGCACGTGACGCTGGTCGGGGAACTGTCGCGCCGGGTGGAGAGCGGAGACCTCTTGAACGTCTCTGAGATTGAGCAAGAGATTTCCTGCCAGAGCAACCACTCCGAAGTCGTCCAGGTGCTCCTCATGGTGGCTCTGTGTTGTGTGTGTGTGTGTGTGTGTGTGTGTGTGTGTGTGTGTGTGTGTGTGTGTGTGTGTGTGTGTGTGTGTGTGTGTGTGTGTGTGTGTGTGTGTGTGTGTGTGTGTGTGTGTGTGTTCGCTTAGGACGCATCCTGCACCCTCCCCCCTTATTCCACTTCTCCACCTCCCCACCTCCTTACCCCCGTCACTAACCTACGTCCCCCCCCCCCAAACTCCCTCCGCGTACTCACAACCCACTGCGCACCAGAAAATCCGCGAGCAGCTGTCCAACCCGAAAGTTTCTGCGCAGAACAAGACGCGCCTTGTGCTGCTGTACGCCCTGCGCTACGAGCGCCACAGCAACAGCGCCGTCTCCGAGTTTGTTGAGCATCTCTTCAGGGAGGGCGTGCCCGACCGCCTTCGCTCGCTCGTCTCTGCCATCATCAAGTATGCCGGCAGCGGTGCGGCTCAGCGCCAGAGCGACCTGTTTGGCACGCGCGGCGCCCGTGGAATCTTCCGCCAAATGACCGGCGGCCTCAAGGTGACTTGGCCCGAGAGGAGGATGCAGATGGGGAGATGGGGGGGATGCGTGCAAGCATGTGCAAATGTGTGTGTGTGTGCGTGCTCTTCGCGTGCATTTTCGCTTTCGCGCATGCCTGAAGACAGTCAAGTCGGGCTTGTCCTAACGCCAACCCGCCCCCTCCACACCTCACCCTAACCATCACCCCCGTTTGACGGATCATTCACTTGCGTGCTAGGGCGTGGACAACATCTACACGCAACACACGCCGCTGCTTGCACAGACACTCGATCTGCTCGCAAAGGGGCGCCTCAAGGACGCCTCGTATCCGTTTCTCCGCGGCAGTCCCACCCCAGACAGGTCTGTGCAGTGCTCATATGTGACATGCCTGTCCGTGTGTGTGTACGTGAGGTGTAGCTATATGTCTTTGTGTATCTGTGTCTGTGTCTGTGTGTGTATGTGTCTGTCTGTGTGTGTATGTGTGTGTGTCTGTCTGTCTGCCTTGTGTCTGTCTGTCTGTCTGTGTGTGTGTGTGTGTTTGTGTCTGTGTGTCTGGATGTCTGTGCTGCTTTGCTTGTTCGTGTGCTGAACCCAACCAACACCTTCACACAACCCCATACATCCTTCCATGCAACACCTTCACACACACACCCCCCCCCACCCATCCACCCGTCATCACTCTCCGATGGCCAGGCCGCAGGAGGTGTTTGTGTTTATGGTGGGCGGCGTCACATATGAGGAGGTCAAGGCTGTCCACGACTTCAACGACGCAAACCCAGGTGTGTGTGTGTGTGTGTGTGTGTGTGTGTGGGTGGGTGTGTATGTGTGCCCGTACACATGTTGCCTGTTTGCCTGTTGTTCATTTTTCCTTGCTGTCACTGTTGGTTTCGTCTACTCCTCAACACTCACTCACAACACTCACAAAACACACACGTGCACATACTCTCTCACGTTGGTGGTGTGTCAGCGATGCGCGTGGTGCTGGGAGGAACGAACATCCACAACTTCAAGAGCTTCTGCGAGGAGATTGAGACATTTGCCGGCAGCACCGGCGCGGCATCAGGCCGGGGCCGCTATGCATGAGCTTGCGATGGACGGATGCGTGGATGGGTAGGTGTTGGATGGATGGACACGTACATGGATGCATGCGTAGATGGATGGATGGGTGAAGGGTGGACGTTTGTGTGGCATGTGGCTGTGGTGCTGAGGGGCTGAAGTCGGTTGCTTGCGGCATTTCAACGGGTTTTGTTTTTTGTTGCACAACAACGTGCGCAAGCGTGCACTCTTGTCTTTGTTACCGTGAGAAAGACAACATACATCAGAGACTGTGTTCCGAAGCGCGAGAACCAACACACACACACACACACACACACACACACACACACACACACACACACACACACACACACACACACACACACACACACACTGAATAGCAACAACGCAAGTCCGACAGCATGAAATGCATTTTCAAAGGGTCCGTTGCCAACACCACGCCAAAGCAACAACACGGCGGACAGACACACACACACACGCCAACCAATGACGATGAGTGAAGGTGAGACCACCAGCAATAGCGGCAACGACGGCAGAGGCAGTCAGGAAGTGAAAAGGGAGGCAGGAGAGACAACAGCGAAGATGGATGGAACAGAAAGGGTGCAGCCACAGCAGCAACCGAAGCCAACCTCATCAAATGACGGCCCACACAAGCCACCAGACGACACACAACAGCAGCAGGAGGAGCAAGAACAAGGTGGCACTGCCAGCAACGAGCGAGAAGCAGAACACGATACAGAAGGCAACCAAGCACACGACGATGATGAGAGCTTACCTGTGGAAGAGGCTCCGGAAGGGCTGAGACCGCAGCGCCCAAAATCTTCCCGCCCACGCTCGTCACGCCCACGCTCGTCTCGCCACCGCCCAAAGAAGGCGGCGAGCTTGAGCAGCAGCAGCAACGACGATGATGACATCGATGACAGCGACAACGCTGGTGACGAGGCTGGCAATGACGGCGACAAGTCATCCAATACATCAGAGGGTGCTGGAACTGACAACGCGACAGAGTCAACGCCATCTTCTCAGCAACAACACCAACAACAGCAACAGCAGCTCAGCGGTCATGCCATCGCCGTGCATGTAGAGGATGAGGATGAGGACACAAGGAGCAACACAGCAAGCCAGCAAGCGCAGCAACACAAGCAACAACAGGCCACAACAACCGCCACAGAAAGCAGCAAGGAGGAAGAAACAATGCCTGGGCAACACGAGGCAGGCACGGGGAGCGCAAAAGCAAGTGGGACGGAGGAGAAGGAGGTCAAGACACGGGATGGCGGTGACGATAACGAAGGTGGAGACAACAAGGTGGTCATGGAGCGAGGCGGAAAGATTGTTTACGTGGACGCAAGCGATGTCAATGCATCCGTTGACCCAGATCTCATCTTTCACGACGACGATAAGGTGGTATTTTGGTGTGTGTGGGTGTGCGTGTATGCATGCCTCTGTGTGGCCTGCATCTATGCATACGTCTGTCTGTCTGTGTGCGCACCTCTGTGCCTTGTGTGCTCTACTTCTCTTGACTTGCATGCGCGCTCACGTATGAATGTGTTGCCACCACAGCCGCCTGCACCTGAAAAGCAAGGGGATGCTGGTACCACCACAGCAACCGCAGCTGCAACCTCCCAACAAAACGAGCAAGGGGAGACTACGGCCTCAGACGACCAGCAATCTTCAAGACCAAAGCGCCTGGCCCAGTCCGCACGCCTCGCAAGGTGTGTGCTTTGGCTGACAGCGCGTGCATTCGTGTGCGTGCGGTCCGTGTGTATGTGCGCGTGTGCGTGTGTGTGTATCCGCGTGTGCGTGTGTGTTTGTGTCTGTGTCTGTGTCTGTGGCTGTGGCTGTGTCTGTGCGTATCTGTGCCTGCGTGTCTGTGTCTGTGTCTGTGCGTATCTGTGCCTGCGTGTCTGTGTCTGTGTCTGCATCTGTGCCTGCGTGTCTGTGTGTATCTGCCACTCATCGCCCCCACTCCATCACCAGGTCCTCGCGCGCGCGTTCTGCCCGCCCCGCAACAGCGCGGCAGGCGTCCTTTGGTGAGTCGAAACACAAAACGCGCGGTGGTGCTGGTGGCAATGATGATGATGATGATATCGATAGCGGAGTGTACACACTGCGTGGTGGTGGAGTGCATCTCACCTGGCAACTCGTCACCACATCACCTCACCATCCTTTCACCCCTCCCCTCATGCCCTTAATGTCTTCAACCATCATCGACCATGTGTATGTGTGTGTGTGTGTGCAGGTGGGACGTCTGAGGAGGCAAACGCGGCGTTTCGGGCGTGGTACTATCGCAAGGAGGAAGAGAGGCGACGGCAGCGACAGCACAGCCGCAAACTCACAAAGGAGCAGATACTCGAGCAGGAGGTGTGCGGTGATGGTGGTGGAGAGAGATGAAAAGCGTACATGGCTTGAGCGAACCACACTGCATCGCGTATTCGTGTGTCAACACGCGTGTGCATGTGTTGGGAATCCTGCTGAGATTGCAACATCCGTGTATTTGACGCTTGCATGCATGCCCATTGCCCACCATCACCATTGTCATTCATCACGATCCCTCCTTCCTATCCTTCCTATCCTTCCTATCCTTCCTTTCCTTCCTATGCTCCCCCCCCCCTCCCCGAATTCACAACACCACCAGCGAAAGCGGCGGGAAGAGGCTGAGAAGACGTTCCAGGCCTGGCTGCAGAACAAGCGCGCCTCCTCCGCTCGCGTAGGTTGCTCTGGGCTGCCGTCGTGTTACTGTCCTTGTCGCGGCCTCTCTGGAAGCGTGTCGTGGGATGCCACTACCACGTGTCACAACGTGTTATCTTGTCATGGAGGAAGGGTGCATCTGGATCTTTATCACCTTATCCTTGGGTGTTTTGTCGTGCAACAATTCATCACCACCCCCTCACACCTTGAGTTTCGTTGTTGCTTGTTGTTGTTGGCGGCGTCGTTGTTGTTGCTTTTACGTGCATCATGTGCACGACAACCCTGTGTCCGTCCCTCCCCCTCCCCACCATCATTTGCTACACAGCACCGCCCTGCACATCGCACGCAACATGACGAGCGTGCAAAGACCGCGCGGGCACGCATGCACGACAAGGAAGGTTGGTTTTGCGCCAGGACACTACTGCCAAGGATTTGGGTTTGGGTTTTGCGCTTGTACGCATTCATGTGTTTCCGTTTCTCGTGCACATTATGAATACTTGTCAACGCCCTCCATTGACACGAACACACACCCGCACATGCACACACACGTATGTTTCCACGCACACCGTTTCCCTCACATGAATACACTCTCCCGTGTTTGGTGCTGTTGCCAGAGGCCGACGAGGCGTTTCAGGCGTGGCTCTCACGCAAGCGCGATCAACTCACCCGCGAGAAGGAGTGAGTACAGCGCACGGTGTAGAGGATGGACGTGGTGACGCTGCTCACGGGCAGCCAGTGGGCTACTGCTGCTGCTCGCGTGCCCACGCGGCATTCTCTGAAACAGAGTTGCTGAACTACCTCGCTCACACACACACACACACACACACGCACACGCACACAGGGAGAAGCGTGCGCGAAGTCGGATCTTCCGGGAGCAGCTGCAACTTCTGGAGGAGCAAAAGCGGAAGTCGAACGAGGCCGTGGCCGCCTGGCTCAGGGAGAAGCGAAGGCAGGAGGAGGTACGTGTGCAACCCCGCACACGCGAACGCGCACACAGACACAGACACAGACACACATGCACAGACACGCAGATAGAAGCATGCATGCATGTAGTGAAGTACAGTGCTGCTGGTTGTGTGCGTGGTTGTGTGCGTGTATTCTTGGTACGCTTCGTGCTGTGGTGTTTGCTTACTTCTGCTGTTGCCGTTCATCCATCCCGTTGACTCCATCGCACACCGCCAATTTCACGTCAACTGCAGGCAGAGCGCCAGGAGCTGAAGCAGCGCATGCGCAAACACAACCAGGAGCTTCGACGCATCTACACATCGCTCCACAGGTGTGCACACACACACACATGCACGCATGTACACACACGCACACACACGTACATACACAGCTGCAACGATACAACCCTGGCAGTTCCGATCACTCTGCACAGCTAACACCATCGATCGCTTTGTGTGTGTGTGTGTGTGTGTGTGTGTGTGTGTGTGTGTGTGTGTGTGTGTGTGTGTGTGTGTGTGCAAACGCGTGTCTTCTCCTTTCTTCTGCACCCCTCCACTCATCCATCCATCCATCCACATCAATGCCAGGCCGCGGACGGGGCGGTCGGAGGAGGCGGCGTCCTTCTCTCCGAGCACATCCATCGGGCGCTCAACAACAGCTGCCGGCAACACGCTGGGCATGTCTGCACACAAGTCCCACTTTTGATGCGCTACACCTGCTCACAGTCACGCGCGCGCGCGCGTGTGTGTGCTCGTGATTGACATGTCATGCACTGCGTCCAAAGTCCACGAGTGCTTGATGCAGACAACCCTCTCCCCATCCCGCCTTGGTTCTCTCATGGTGGTGCTGTTGTGACACGATGCCTCCTTGTCGGCCCATTGTGGTGTCAGGTGTCTTTGTCGTTGCTTCATATTGTTTTGATTGCCCTTTGTACAACTGCTGGCTGTGAAGACCGTACTGTACGTGCACACATGCTTCCTTTTTGTACAACTGCTGGCTGTGAAGACCGTACTGTACGTGCACACATGCTTCCTATTCCTGGCTCCGCACAGCCGTCATTGCTGTTTCTCGTCGCGTTGTGAGACTCGTTCCTTGGTTTCCTTGCCGCTTCGCGTACGGCCAGGCGTGTGCCCGTGCACCCATCCTTTGCTCCTCATAATTGCTCTCGTTACATGAAATGAACACACACATGTGTGTGCGCGCATCTTGGGTTTGTTGTTTCACCATTTTTTTCATCTTTCACTCCTTTGCCCCTGATTTGCCCCAGCGTCGTTCAATTCACCCTCCTCTTGCCATCGTTGCGCAGATGTATGCTCGTCGCGTGTGCGTGTGTGAATTGCGTGGAGTGCTGTTCAAATCCGTTATAAATCTCCCACATCCTTCACATCTGCCTTGATGACAGTCCATGCGGACACGTGATCTTGATGGGGTGGGGGGTCTCTTTAACGCGAGACACAGACACGCAACAACAACAACAACAACAACAACAACAACAACAACAACAACAACAACAACAACAACAACAACAACAACAACAACAACAACAACAACCATCATGCAACCACTGCCAGCAAATCTCTGACAAGACAGCACACATGACGTCACAGCGTCACGTCATGTCACGCCACTGCTCGCGTGTGCTCAGTTAAACGTCCCAGAAGTAGCACTGCTCAAACCCTGAGCCGTCCTTGCCCGTGAAGACGGGGTTGTAGTTGTAGATGATGTCCTTCCGCAGCTGCTCCGGTGGGTACGCGTGGTTGGACTTGCGGGCCTCGTTCACAAAGAACGTCGACGTCAGCTGGCACGTCTCAATTGCCAGCGCAGAGTGCGGAATCGCCTGCGGTTGGTTCATTGGAAGTGATGGTGTGTGTGTGTGTGTGTGGGGGGGGGGTGATGGTGGTGATGGTGTGTGTGTATGTGTGTATGTGTATGTGTGTATGTGTGATGGTGTATGTGTGATGGTGTATGTGTGATGGTGTATGTGTATGTGTGTGTATATGTGTGTGTTGTGTGCCATGCTTGAAAATGACACTGCAGAAGCACACAGCATGCATCACCATCACCACCACCATCACCACCCAGCCTCAGCATCACCACCACCACCATCCATCACCACTACTCCCATTCATCCGCGCCGCACCTCGCTGGCGGTCCACTCAAACGAGTTCTTCTCTGGGTGCCACTGCGTCGCGTAGAAGGGCATATGCTTGCCTGCAAGCATCCGCACGCGTGGAGTGAGAACAACACTGCGTTGGAAACGAACACCCTTGGAAAAAGCATGTCATCGCGACTTGCGGAAACGGAGAGACATGCGCAACAGACGTTGCGCAACACATCACACGCTGGCACTGACACACACACGCACACACACAATTACACACACACACACAGACACACTCACACACACACACAATTTAACACACACATACGCACCTTCAATGGTGGAGACAAAAGGGTTGCCCTTGCGATCGACGTTTGTGGAGATGACGTTGAAGAAGGAGGTGAGATTGGCGTTGTTGGCAAAGGTGATCGGGGTCACACCGCCCTCGTGGTTGTTCATCGTCAGCGGTTCTGCATGGAAAAGCAAGCAACATACATGCAAACGAGTGTCATGGGCCGGAGGTGCGAGGGAGTGATGTGGTGCAAAGGGGATGAACAATGGCGACATTCACACACACGTACATAATATGCACACACACGCACACACACGCACAAATGTAGACACACACACGCACACGTGGACTCACTCACACTCACGCATTCACACGCACGCACACTCACACACATATGCACTGATGCATTCATGCATGTGCACATACGGTTGCGGAGGGCGGTGATGAGTTCTGGGCGGGCGCTCTTGAAGATCTTGCTGGTGGAGATGTGGGACGTGAAGTTGAGGGGAAGCGGCAGATCCTCCGAGTCAAAGTGGTGACCCAGCACGCTGTTGCCGCCAATAAACACACTCACCATCTGAAACCCAAGGCATGTACCCTGATAAAGAGAAGAGAGGAAGAGAGGAAGAGAGAGAGAGAGAGAGAGAGAGAGAGAGAGAGAAACGAGGGTGTATTGTGTGGTGAGGCCAAGATAAGGCAGGCATTGGGTGGCATGGCTGCATCAACACATGGCTGCCAATAATGTGACGCAGCTGCACAAATGTGCAACAAGTGAAAACACAGGAGCATCGCAAACACACACACATACACACACACACACGCACGTACCCAAACTGGGAAGTAGTCGCCCTTGTTGTTAAACTCCTTGGCCATGTTCATCATGAACCGGGCGGTGCGGGAGTAGGAGTTCTTGGGGTCTGTGATGGCTTGGCCACCACCCGGCAGCAAGAACCCGTTGATCATCTTTGCCTTCTCCCGCAGCTCGTCCTCGCTGGCCATGCAGTCAATGGGCACCACGCGGGCACCAGCACTCTCCAGATACTTAACGTAGGACGCTGCCAGCAACCGTAAGAAAAGGTGTCAGCCACAGAGCATGTCCGACACAATGTTAGTTGTGCACTCCGTTTCGCGCTGGACAAAATGCGGTGTACGGGTTCGTTACATACACAAGCACATGCACCAACGCACACACATGCGCGCACATGCACCCACCCACACGCACATGCACACACACACACAACACACACACACACACACACACACACACACACACACACACACACACAACACACACACACACACACAACACACACACACACGCACCTGCAATGTAGGTGCGGGTCTCGTCGATCTCGCCGCCGAGTTTGCCGCCCAGCACTTCGGGTCCGTACGTCTGCGTCAGGACGCCAATCACAGGGCCGGTCTGGTTGGCTGGTAGCGCATGCGTCCCGCACACCACCGCCACCAAGACGGCCACGACAAGCGCAAGCGTCGCCGTGCTCCGCGTCATCTTCGCCAGCATTGCCACCAAACAAGCAAGGAAAGGCAAACAAGCGTGCTCAACTCCAACCAAAACAGCCGAAAATTGTGAATACAGTTCACCAATCGCCAACAATCACATCGCATCAGACCTTGCTGCTTGCAGCGTGCAGCGTGCGTGTTTAGCGACCACACACACCACACACACACACACACACACACACACACACACACACACACACACACACACACACACACACACACACACACACACACACACACACACACACAACGCATACATGCAGCGATGGCAGGTGTTGGCGTCCCAGTGCACGTTTCACGCTCATGCAAAGTTGCGACGGGCACTGGAACAAGCGCGTTTGCTCCTCGGCCACTCCAACACAAGCACCACTACCACTACCACAAACAATGACAGCCACAACAACAGCAGTGAGCAAGCGCTATCAGTGTCACCACCAGCAAGGCCTTCACCATCAGCACCACTAATGGACGCGCCTTCACCCGCATGGCTGCTGGATGAAAAGGGCCTCGATTCACCTGGGTTTGCAGACAGCGCGGCGTTGTTGGGCGAGACTGACTTACCAAGCGCGAGTAAGGTACTCAAGGCCCTGTCTCATCATGGCCAATGCCAGTACTGCGATGCGCTCTTGGATCACATGGAGCGACGAGGCACGCCACCAACGCTAGCAGACATGCACGCAGTGATGGCAGCACACGCGCGCACTGGCGATGTGAACACGACAACACGCCTGTTTGACAACACGCTGCAGCGCTTCGGCTTTTCCAATTACAGCCTGCAGCTGGGTGTGCTTGCGTACGTGCGCACACGGCCTTTGCCAGACATGGAGGGTGCAGAGGCGTTCTTGTCAGCAGCGGTGGCAAGCGCCGAGAGTGGTGGAAGCCTGCAGGCGAGCGGCGTCACGGGCAGCAGCAGGCCGCCGACCTTGCCCATGTACTCCACGCTGCTGGAGGGATACAGCATGCTTGGCGCTACGCCTCAGGCTACTAACGGCATTCGCAGCGTGCTGGATCGCATCAAGCAGCGGCGCGTGTATTTGGACGAGGCAACGACACAGCGGCTGTTTGAGGCATTCATGCGCGTTGGTCAGCACGATGAAGCTGAGGCCCTGGTGCGCAGCGGATTGGCACGCAGCACACCACTCCCATACAAGGCCGTGCGTGCGCTGTTTGGAGCATACTTTGCCGATGGCGACCACGACCGCTTCCATCGCCTCGCGGAGATGCTTGGTGCCCCGGCTGTGCAGGACAAGTTCCCGCTCACCGTCATGGCATATCGACTTCGGCTGCAGCGGCTGCTCGCCGATAGGGACACGTGCACGACGAACCCGCCCTCGCTTGACACCGATGTGCTGTGCGAGGACTTTGAGGCAGGGGAGGCGCACCAGCTGCTGGGAACAGATCGCGTGAACAGGCAGGCGGCGTTTGTGCGGGCCTGTGCAGAGGAGCAGCGCACAGCAGAGGCCATGGCGCTGTATGACAAGTGGTTTCGTGGCACCATCCGCCACAATGGTGTGGTCACAGCGCTCATGCACATGTGGCTGGAGCCCCTCCTCTGGTCAGCGCCACAACAACAACAACAACAACAACAACAACAACAACAACAACAACAACAACAACAACAACAACAACAGCAGCAGCAGCAGCAGCAGCAGCAGCAGCAGCAGCCCCTTTTGACACCTGACGGGCGCGAATGCTCACAGGATGAACTGCTTGCGTACTGGCTGCATGGGCGCTCACCAGGCTCTGCTTTAACACGTGCATGGCTACAAGAGACAGTGGCATGGGACACGCTGCTCCCTGCAGACTGTACGGCCGACGCGGCACTGGAGCGCGTGAGAATGGCAGAGGCCATGTTTGAAGAGCTAGACCGCGATGGCATCACCCGATGGCATGTGGAGCCCCTCATGCGGTGGCACATGCAAGCGGGCAACCCTGGTCAGGTGGAGGAGCTACTGGGATACCTGCACACGCATTCGCGAGCACCCGTGCCTTCCCGCAGCTACATCTTCCTTGTCAAGGCATTGGTGGTTGCTGGCCAGTTTGAAGTAGCACGGCGCGCGCTGCTGCACATGGACAACAGCGGCCACACCGTGTTCCCCGAGCTCGATGCATATGTTACAGCGTTTGCGCAACTTGCTTCCCCAGATTCGTGACACCTTGCTTACATGACCACATGTGCACACGTGCATGCGCGTGTGCGCGCTGCACGCGAGAGTTTGTGATCTGCTTCACATGAATGCAGTCACGTCAATCAAGAAAGTAAAGAACAGTCACACACGTCAGCATTGCGCACATATCTTGCTCACGGTATGGCTTTCGTGCAGCCCGTGTCATGTATGACATCATCGTGCTTGGGTAGGCTGAGAAATTTGGGCCCCTACGCAAGACTGCATTCGTGCACAAAGCGTGCTTGGTGTCGTCATTCGCTCGGTCGTAGCATGCATTCTTCGTTCTTCATTCACATCATCGCACCAGCACGCTGCATGCCCAACCAGTGTACCGCTAGGTTGAGCGGCCATTGCAGGGCACCATGAATCTCCGCATCCGCCTGCTCTTCCGCCGGCTGGTGAGGCTCGCGACAGCCTTGAGTGTGAAGGCGGGCTTGCTCGTAGCCGTGACGGTGTAGTGGTGATGGTGGTTGTGGTGGGAAATTGGGTGCACTGCGACGCTTGTGTGCACATTTGAGCGCCCTCCTCCCCCTCCCTCTCTACGCTCACACGCATGCACGCTGTGCGTGTCACGTGCACACAACTGACTCGACACAACACGTAGATCAGAACACTCTATCGGGATGTTGCGTTCCAGCGCGAGATGGCCAAAGGCCGGCCACAGGTTAGCTGGCTGCTTGATTGCTTGTGCGAGCGTGTGTTTGTGTTTGCTTTGAAGTTGGCGAGGCAGGCTGGCTTGGCGGGTGCAAGCGAGGGTGTGAACTGCCAAGGCTGCTTGGGCTCGGCCTTGTAGGGTGGTGACCTGTCTGTGAGAGCGCACTTGCTTGCGCCCGCCAGTGTGACCACCACCACCACCACCATCACCACCTGGCCATCCAGCCATGCTTGCTGCCAGCCATCTCCCAGCCTCACACCCGCCCTTCAACGTCTGCTGCTACTTCTGCTGAACAGAAACGACTCAAGCCGGATCAGATTGCTGCGTTGAGGCGGCTGCCGAGCAAGCGCACGAAGCGGCAGCGCCATCTGGTGCGCATGATGGTGGAGTCCCTCGAGTGCTTTCGCAAGTACCAAAACCTCAACTTTGAGGACATGGCCGAAATTCTCCACTATGAAGCTCGCATGCCTGGTGATCTCCTTCTTCGCCAAGGTGAACTCAAGGGTGACATGGGGGTGACAGATAGGGTGTGTGTGCGTGTGCACGTGCGCGTGCTCGTGTGCGCGTGTGCATCTGTGCATATGTGTGCATGTGTGGGGGGAGGATGGACAGCAGCAACAGCACTGTGTGTCATGCGCACCTTTCCCTGTTACAGCACACATCGCGCACGCGTCCTCATCACGCACTCGTACGTACAGGTGACCCTGGGTATGGGTTCTACTTCATTGCTTCCGGCAAAGTGGAGGTTCGCATCAAGGATCCCGACGCTGTCGATGGCTACCGCGTCGTCAACGAGCTCGGGGCAGGTGTGTGTGTGTGTGTGTGTGTGTGTGTGTTCATGTGTGTGTGTGTGTTTGTTTGTGTTTGGGACTCGTATGCATCCAATTGCATATGCTCGCGCTTTCCCCCCTCCCTCTCGCGTCACATTGCACGACGCGCAGAACCGTCGTAGCCATTCTCGCACTCACAACACGCTGCCTTTTCTGTTTCCCTGGTCTACGTTTGTGCTGCAGGCGTGTCGTTTGGGGAGGTTGCGTTGCTGGATCCAACCAACCGTCGTAGCGCCAGCATTGTGTGCAAGGAGGCGTGCGAGTTTCTCCGCGTCGAACGCGACGAGTTTGACACGCTCCTGCGACAGTACCACCAGCGCGAGTTTGATGCAAAGCTTAGCCTGTACCGTGACCACGGCAACTTTGACGGGTGGCACGAGCGCGCCCTTCGTGTTGTGGTGCGGGACACCCATCGTATGGCGTTCCGGCAGGGCAGGCTCATTGCGCTCGGATCCAAGGAGCCGGGCACCCTCAACCGCGGGCCGCAGACATTCATCGTGGCCAGTGGCAAGGCGCAGATCCTGCGGAAGCTGCATGTTGTGCTGGACACGACCACGGGCCGGGTGACGCTGGCGAAGCAGCGCGACAGCAGGATGCGAGCACTGCATCTGCAGCACAAGGCAATATGGCTTGCGTCTGAGCCCCTCAAGGTTGGCGACGTTGTGCCGTACATGTCTGACACGACGGCGCTGGTGAGCGAAGGGTGCGAGGTGCTGTATGTGCCGCAGACATCGTTTCTGTTTCGGGACAACGGCACCGTGCTCGACGACATCTTCAAGCGCAGCTACATCCTGAGCGCATCGGACAAGGAGCTGTTCAAGCAGTACAACCAGCTGCAGCGGTGGGACTGGTTCTGCTTCCAGATGCGAGAGGACCTGAAGCAAGGGGTACCCACCTCTGCAGGGCCGCCCACATTCACGCCCACCTCCCACCTCTCCATGTCGCCGTCGCTGTCCTCCTCATCGTCGTCCCTCTCCCGCTCCATGCTTCCGGCCGTGCGAAGATCAAAGTAACCCGCGATGTAAACGCGCGCTCTGTGTTCTTGTGTCGTTTATGTCTGCGTGTTTGCGTGTTTGCACGTGTGTGTGTGTGTGTGACCTTGTATACATGCGCGTTCACTCGTGCAACTCGTTGAACTTGTGCTTCCACGGCTTCACGCAACGGGGTTGTTATGGCTGCGGCGCTGGCTGACCTGCAGGCGCTTGGTTTGCTGTCCTCACTTGTGTTACCTCACTTAGTCACTTATTCACTTATTCTGCCTTGTTGGCGAGAATTCAGCCTTCCTGCTTCCTTGCCCTGCTGTTGCGCTCCCCTCGCCCATAGCTTGCTTTGTTACACATGACATTCTGACATTACAACCCGACCATCGAATGGTGTGCGGGCGTGCTACCTGCTCAGGCTTACGGCACAACAAAGCCATCAAGAAGCCAACAAGAGCAAGCACACAACCCAAAAAACAAGCAAGCAAACTCGCAAAGCACGAAAGCAAAGTCGTGGGTGTACAGGAAGGGGGAAAACAGTGTGGGCGTTGCTCTTTTGTTTGTTTTGTTGTTTGGTGGGAGGACAACAACCGCAGCGACGCTCATCTCACAACCACAAACAACCAACCATGGCGTTCTTGAAGCGAAAGGTGGGATGGTGTGCTGTGCTGCTTCTTGGGCGTGTTCTGCTATTTGGTGGCGCTTCTCTTGCCTGCATATGTGCGTGCACAACAGCTTGCTTGCTTGCCTGCTGCACCATCTCCGTGCCGGCCGTCGTATGTCTCACACCCTGCCTGACGCTGTTGCCTCGGCTTGCATCGACGTCTTCGCTTCAGCTGAGACGCTCCACGTCAACAACCAGTATCGATAGCCAACAGAGCCAGGTCTCCGTGAGCAGTATTGCAAGTAATGTCAGTCGAGTCAGCGTCACTCCAAAGGTCGCCGACGATGCCATCAGCACAACGTCCAGCCAGGTGTGTGTGTGTGTGTGTGTGTGTGTGTGTGTGTCTGTGTGTGTGTGTCTGTGTGTGTGTGTGTGTGTGTGTGTGTGTGTGTGTGTGTGTGTGTGAGAGAGTGTGTGCGCGCCGATGCCCATACGTACGCGAATTGCGGTGGAGCACGCCCGGCGGGAACGGGGTTGGGGTGCGCTTGGGTCGTGGAGTGAGTTTCATGCAGGGCAGGGAGGAAGATAGTGAAGCG